CCTGTAATCCCAGCACTTTGGGAGGCCGAGACGGGCGAATCACAAGGTCAGGAGATCAAGACCATCCTGGCTAACATGGTGAAACCCCGTCTCTACTAAAAAATACAAAAAACTAGCCGGGCGAGGTGGCGGGCGCCTGTAGTCCCAGCTACTCGGGAGGCTGAGGCAGGAGAATGGCGTGAACCCGGGAGGCGGAGCTTGCAGTGAGCTGAGATCCGGCCACTGCTCTCCAGCTTGGGCGACAGAGCGAGACTCTGTCTCAAAAAAAAAAAAAAAAAAAAAGGAAACAGCATCTCTCCTATTGGCTGGTTTGAGGCATGAGAGTTATCATCTCACCCATGAGCTGAACAAGGATATATTTTACAATCCCACCTGTTGATAGAGAGTAAGCAGGAGCATGACATCACCTGGGCACTAGGCCAGGAATATGTCACAATTTTCCCTGATGGCAGGAACCAGTCAGAAGAGTAACATCAGCTGGGTGATCAGCCAGGGATATGTTACAATCCTGTTCTGAAAGCAGGGCACAGGCAGCAGAGTCACAGCATCTGGGTGCTGAGCCCAGAGACATGTCACAATGCTCCCTGGGAGCAAGGCCCAGGAAAAGGAAGCACATCACCCTGTTGCCGAGTCAATGTTATTGTCACATTCTCCCCTGTGGGCCAGGTGCAGGCTGTAGAGGAGTCACATCTCCTTGGTGAGGAATACAGAGATATGTCACCAGGGTCTTGAGAGTCATAGGGCTAGAGCCCTGTTTGCAGGGCATAGGCAGGTACCTCCCAAATTCTACATGTTTGGCCCAGTGATATGTCACAGTACTCATATGTGGGACCCATGAAAGAGGAGAGTCACATCACCTAGGTGCTAGGTCCAGCGATACATCACCATCCTACATGCTGGCAGAGACCAGGCAGAAGGAGAAGGCCACATCACCTAAATCATGAATGTAAAAATATATCATAATACCCTTTGGGCAGGACCCATGCAGGAGAGTCACCTTACTTAGGTATTGGACCCAGCCATATGTCACATGCAGTGTGACAGTAGGTAGCTTAGTCTGGTATAAGCAGGGCAAGAAAGGGCGCCCCACTCCACACACACCAGAAATGTCAGGTGGCAATCAGATAATGGCCAGGCAGTTAACTGTCTCGCTAAAGTAATAATTGGTGACAGCTGTTGCCAGGGAACAGCAGTCTCCTAATAGAAAACACCTAAAACTGGTCATCAGTAGCTTCCCAGTGAGATCTCAGGAGTTGGGTGGGTTAGGAGAACTAATGCAAGACCCCAGAAGTATGCCAACACATAAAATCCCAAGAGAAGAGAGTCACATCATGACAGTAATGGCAACAGAGATATGACACACAATGACCCTGTAGGCAGGGCCCAGGCAGGAGAGTTACATCAACTGGGTGTTGGACCAAGTAAAATGTTACAACGGCGCCTGTGGGCAGGGCACAGGCAGGAGAGTCACATAACCCGGGTGTGCTGCCCAGCAATGTGTCACAATGTCCCCTGTGGAAAGCACCAAGGCAGTAGAGGAGACTCACATCACTTGGGTGCAAGGTCCAGCAATCTGTCAAGATGCTCCTATGGGAAGTACCAAGGAAAAAGAATAGAGTCACATTACCTAGGTTGGGGTTCAGCAGTATGTCACAATTTCCATCTGTGGGCTGGGTGCAGGCAAGAGTCTAATCATTCAGGTGCTGAGAAGAGGCATATGTCATAATCACACCAGCAAAAAGGTCTAGGGATGAGATTAACAATCTTGCACATGTCCTAGTTCTTGGTAAGAGAGTCAACATCCCCTGTATTTTCTTTCTAAGTATACAAGTCACAATATTAACAGTGGATAGATTCGTGCATGAGAGCCTTGATCTCCCCTGTGGACTGCGTACCTGTAGCAGAGTCACAGCCTCACAAATGTGCTAAATCTTGGTCCTGAGTCACTCATCATTCTGTGAATGGAATTTATGTAGGGGAGTCAATTTCCCAACTTTCTACCACCTTCAGATGTGATATTCAGAACCCGAGCAATGAACTGTGTTTATAAAAGATGACAATCTTTATAATTGGCTGGGTATGTATACAAGTAACACAATCTGACCTGTGTGCTGGGCCCTGTTAAAAACACACTCTGTACCACCCAAGGGCTTTAGAATGTGGCAATCTGTTGGCCAGGTGCGGTGGCTCACACCTGTAATCCCAGCACTTTGGGAGGCCAAGGCAGGTAGATCACGAGTTCAGGAGTTCAAGATCAGCCTGGCCAAGATGGTGAAAGTCCATCTTACTAAAAATACAAAAATTAGCCGGGTGTGGTGGTGCACGCCTGTAGTCCCAGCTACTCAGGAGGCTGAGGCAGAAGAATTGCTTGAACCCAGAAGGCAGTGGTTTCAGTGAGCTGAGATGACACCACTATACTCCAGCCTCGAGAGAGAGAGACTGTCTCGAAAAAATAGTAATAACAAAACAAAAAAATAAATTTGGTATGAGACCTTCATGCTGGTATGGACCCACGATTTTACCTGTGGACCTAAGAGCAAGTAGAAGAGTTAACATTCCTTCAATTGGCTGGGTTCAGATATGAGAGTTCTTACCTACCTATGAGCTGGGTTTATAAATGAATCATCGTCTCAACTGCAGCAGGACGTTGATATATGACAATCACAATTTCAACTGTAGACCTCATACATGTGTGTAGTTTAGAACCTCACAAGTGGGCTCTTTCAATGTGTGAGGGTGACAATCCTAACAGTTGGCAGGGTGTGCATAGAAAAAACAATCTCACCTGTGAGCTGGGCCCTGTAATTACACTATCTGTAACACTTGAGGGCTTTATAAGGTATGTGAGTGAGTGGTAATTCTTTATGACCTTCATACTAAGAAGAGACCCAGAATTTTACCTATTACCCTAAGCCTAGCTACAAGAGACAGTATCTCTCCTATTGGCTGACTCAAGTTACAATAGTTACTATTGCACCTTGATCTGGATCATAAAATATATCACAATATTCCCTGAGGGCAGGCACCAGGCAAGAGAGTCACATCACCTAGGTGCTCGGCCAGATATGCTACAATCCCTTCCTGAAAGCAGGGTACAAGCAGCAGAGTCAAATCATAAAAGTGCTGGGCCCAGCAATATGTCTCAATACCTTCTGTGGGCAGTGCCAAAGCAGGAGGATAGTCATATTACCAAGGTGCTGGGTCCAGTAATATGTCACAATCTCATTTGCAAGCTGGACTCAGGCAGGAGAGTCAAATCACTCAGGTGCTGAGCAGAGGTGTATGTTAAAATCACACCTGCAGGAGGTCCAGGGACGAGACTACCAATCTCACACCTTTCCTGGTTCTTAGTATGAGAGTCACTGCACACTGTAGGCTGGGTACAAGTGAAGTAAGAAATTAAGAAAATAACAAAATAATAGCATAAGTAATGATGGTAAAGATTATAGTAATAGACAAATAATAATAGCTCATAGAATGAATTGTTGTATTAACCAAGGCTGAAAAAAATTTACATAGCCCCCCAACAAAGTTAAAGTTTAAAAAAAATGTTAACTGCCTGTCCCAAAAAACATTAACCATATGTACGCTCCACATATTTTGTAGGGTCTATAAGCTCGTTCCTTTCTTAGCTGCAAGGTCACAAAACAAATAAGCATAAGCTACAAACCAAGTTTTCCCAAAGATGTAAGACATGCTGCAAAAATATCACAGCAGCCTTTGTTCTTGCTTCTGTAAGCCTGCTTCCTGCTTCACATAGTGCCCGCCTCAAAATACTTAAAAGCAACTGAGTTCTTTGTTCGGGGCTCAGACTTTCAGGACACATGTCCACTGAGCCAGTACACACCTTAAACACTTCCTGCCCTTCATTCGATCTCTCCGGTTCCTTAATTTCCCACAACGTAAGTACACAAGTCACAATCTCAGTGGTGGACTAGATATGTGTTTGGGAGCCTAAATTTCTCCTGCAGACTTTGTCTCCTCCATGGATTCACAACATCACGGGTGTGCTAAATCTTGGTCTGAAAGTCAGCAACCCACCTGTGGACTGAATCCACGTATGAGATTCAGCCACGTATGCAGTCAATTTTCCAACTTTCAACTGACTTTGGGTGTGAGATTCAGAATCTCAACAGTGGACTGTGTTCATGTAGAATGACAACAATCTTTACTGTCTGTTGAATGTACATCTAAATGTCACAATGTCACCTGTGTGCTAAGCTCAGCACTCAGCACTATTCAAGTGTTTCATACAGTATGCATGAGTCACAGTCTTCTTTGCAACCTTTGTGATGATATAGACAAATAATCATACCAATGGTTCTAAGCCTGGATATGCAAGTAAATATGTCTCCAATTGGATAGATCTAGATTGGAGAGTCCTCACCTGCCTGTGTGCTGGGTTTAGAAATGAGTCACCATTGGCCGGGCGCCTGTAATCCCAGCACTTTGGGAGGCAGAGGCGGGTGGATCACAAGGTCAGGAGTTCGAGACCAGCCTGGCCAACGTGGTGAAACGCCATCTCTACTAAAAATACAAAAATTAGCCAGGTGTGGTGACGCGCGCCTGTAGTCCCAGCTACTCGGGAGGCTGAGTCAGGAGAATGGCGTGAACCCAGGAGGCAGTGCTTACAGTGAGCGGAGATCATGCCATTACACTCCAGCCTGGGCAACACAGTGAGACTCCATCTCAAAAAAAAAAAAAGAAAAAGAAAAAGAAATGAGTCACCATCCCCAGCCAGGCGCGGTGGCTCACGCTGTAATCCCAGCACTTTGGGAGGCCGAGGTGGGTGGATCACGAGGTCAGAAGATGGAGACCATCTTGGCCAACATAGTGAAACCCCGTCTCTACTAAAACACAAAAAATTAGCTGGGGGTGGTGGCACGTGCCTGTAATCCTAGCTACTTTGGAGGCTGAGGCAGGGGAATTGCTTGAACCCGGGAGGCGGAGGTTGTGGTGACTGAGATCGCACCACTGCACTCCAGCCTGGGTGACAGAGCGAGACTCTGTCTCAAAAGAAAAGAGAAAAGGAAGAAATGAGTCACCATCCCAATGCAGTCTTCAGTTAAAATTGTTACTGTCTTGTGGCTGGATGTTCACATGTGACATTCACATTTCCAACTCTGGACTGCATCTATATTTTAGATTTGGGACCTCTCCAGTGGGTTTCATCAATGTGTTAGGGTGAGAATCCCAGTGGTTGGTGTGCATGTGAAAAGCACAATTTCATCTGTGCTTTGCACCTTTTGATGACACTGTGTGGACTACCGGAGGGCTTTATATTATATGCAAGACAGTGGTAATCCTCTATGACCTTTGTGTGAAGAAGAGATTCAGAATGCTACCCAGTTTTTAAAGCCTACTTATGAAAGACAGTATCTCCTCTATTTGCCGGTTTGAGGTATGAGAGTCCTCATCACACCTGTCAAGTTTGCCAAGGTATATTCAAAATCCCAACTGTCCACAGAGAGCCAACAGAAGAGTCACATCACCTCAGTGATAGGCCAGGGATATGTCACAATCTTTCCAGAGGGCAGGGGTGAGGCAGGAGGGGTCACATTACCTGGGTGCTCAACCAGGGATATGTTACAATTTCCTCTTGAAAGCAAGTCACATGAAGCAGAGTCCCATCACCAGTGTGATTGGCTCAGGAGTATGTCACAATGCTCTCTGTTGGCAAGTCACAAGCAGGAGTGACACATACCTCGTTGCTGAGCCCAGTGATATGTGACAATTTTCCCTTTGGGCAGAGTGAAGGTAGAAAAGAAGAGTCACATCTCCCAGATGATTGATGCAAAATTATGTCACAGGGCAACTGTGAGCCAGGCCCAGGCAAGAGCCTCCAACTGCCTAGGTGTTAAGCTCAGCAGTACGTCACACTACCAAAAATTCTAAGTCCCAATCATAAGAGGAGAGTCACATCACCTAGGTGCTGGGTTCAGTGAAATGTCACAATCCCTTTTGGCAGGACAAAAGCAAAGAGTCACATCATGTAGGTGATGAATAGAAAGATATATTATAATCCTGAGGGCAAATGGGGCTGTGCTGGAGGGCAAAATCACCTAGGTGCTGGACCCAGAAATACGTCACAGTACACAATATATGCACGGCCCATGCAGAATAGGAGAGTCATATTACCTAGGTGTTAGATATAGGCATATATCATAATATACCCTGAGTGAAGGCCCAGAAAATAGAGTCACATCACCTAGGTGACGGGCCCAGAGATATGTCACAATGCCCATTGTGGATAGGGCTCAGAAAAAAAGAGGAGAGTCACATAACTTAAGGGCTGAGCCCAGCTGTATTTCACAATCACCTCCGTGGGCAAGGGTCAGGAAACAAAAAATTGTATCATTTAGGTGATGGGCTCAAAAATATGTCATAATTACTTCTTTGGGAAGAAATCAGAATAATTACATTTGTGTGCTGGTTCAGGCAATAAGTCACTCTCCATCTCTGGTCATGGCTCAGGCAGGAGAAGAGTCAAATCACCTAGGTGCCGGGCCCAAAGATATGTCAAAATCTCTTTTATTAAAAAAACTCAGATAAGAGTACAGTCACATCAAATAGTTGATGGGCCCAGAGATAAGTCACGATGTCTTCTGTGGGTAGGTTTTAGTAGGAAGACTTAACATAACCTTGGTTCTGGGCCCAGCAGTATGTTATAATGTCTTCTGAGAGCAAGGCCAAGTCAAAAAAGTAATGCCACCTTGAAGTTGGGCCCAGCATTATGTTACAATCTTTTCTACAGGCAGAACCTAAGAAGAGAAAACTGACATTAGCTAGGTGCTGGACTTAGCAATACATCAAAATCCCCCCTGTGAGCAGAGACCTGGCAAGAAGAGAGTCAAATCACCAGAATGATGAGTGCAGAGATATTTCACAATGCCCCCTGGACTTAAGGCAGGACTCAAGCAGGAGAGTTACATCACCTGGATGTTGGACCCAGCAATATGTCACAATAATCCATGTGGGCAGGGCACAGACAGGAGAGTCACAGAACCTGAGTGCAGAGATTAGTGATATGTTACAATGTGTTTTGGGGGCAGCCCCAAGGCAGGGGAGTAGGCTCACATCACCTGGGTGCAATTCCCAGCAACATGTCACAATGCCCCCTATCGGCAGCACCAAGGCAGACAAATGGAGTCACATTACTTAAATGCTAGGTCCAGTGATGTCGCAGTCCCATCTGTTGTCTGGTCCCAGGCAGAAGAGTCAAATCAGGTGATGGGCAGAAGCATATGTCACAGTTCCATCTGCACGAAGGTCCACAGATGAGATTAACACTCCCAGACACATCCCAGTTTTCAATACGAGAGTAAACACCACCTGTATGTTGAGACCAAGTACAGGAGTCACAGTGTCAGTAGTGAACTGTATCTGTGAATTAGTGCCTCAATTTTTTTGTGCAGACTGTTTTAGCGGACTCACAGGCTCACAAGTGTGCTGAATGTTGGTCTCAGGGACACCAACCCACCTATGGATGAAATCCATGCACAAGAGTCAATTTTCCAACTTCTGACTCTTTCTGGGTGTCAGATTCCAAACCTCAACAGGGGGCTGCATTCATGTGTGAGGATAACAATCTTTACTGTTGGCTGGGTGTGCATACAAGTGTCACAATGTTGCCTCTGTGTGGGGCCATGTTAAGACACCCTCTGTATTATCTGAGGGTTTTATATGGTATGCATGAGAGTTGGAAATCCACTGAGACCTTCTTGCTGGTATAGACCCATGTTTGAACCTGTAGCACTAAGCCCAAGTATGACAGTCAACATCTCTCCAATTGGTTGGGTCCAGATATGAGAGGCCTTGCCTGCCTATGATCTAGAAATGAGTCACCATCCCAACTTTAGCCAGATGATTACATACAACAGTCACTATTCCAACTATGGACTGTGCCCAGATGTAAGATTAAGGACCTCACCAGTGGGTTCTTTCTATGTTTAAAGGGTGACAGTCCTAGCACCTGGTGGAGAGTGCATACAAAAACCACAGTCTCATATTTTTGCTGGGCTCTGTGATAACATTCTCTGCACCAAATGAAGGTTTTATACAACATGCAAAAGAGTGGTAATCCTCTATGACCTTAGTATAGAGAGAAGACCCAGAATCTTACCCATTTCCTTAAGGTTACCTAACATACATGGTATCACTCTTATTGGCTGGCTCAAGATACGACAGTCCTCATTGCATATGTGAGCTGGGCTAAGATGTGTTTCACAATCCCATCCGTGAGCATGGAGCAAGCAGAGAGACACATCGACTGCCTCTCTGCCAGGGATATGTCACAATCTTCCATGAAAGCATGGACCCAGCTGGAGAGTCCCATCACCCAGGTGCCTGGCCAAAGATATGTTACGATACCCTTCTGAGAGCAGGGAACTGGCAAAAGAGTCAAATCCCCTGGGCACTGGGCCCAGCAATATATTCCAGTGCTCCCTGTGGGCAAGGCCAAATGAGAAGAGACACATCACCTGGTTTGCTGGGCCCTGTGATATATTGCAATTTTCCATTTGGGCAGGGTGCAAGAAAAAGAGGGAAATCACAGCCCCAAAGTGAAAGATGCAGACATATGTCACAAGGGCTACTGTAGACAGGGCCCAGAAAAGTCTCTCATCCCTTGGGTGTTGAGCTCAGCAGTATGTCACAATACCCAAAATATGCAGGCTCCAGGCAAAAAAAAAAAAAAAAAAGCACCAAGGTGCTGGATCCAGTGCTATGTCACAATTCTCTTTTTGGTTAGGGTCCAGGCAAATAAAGACAGTCACTTTGCCTAGGTAATAAATAAAAGGATATGTCATAACACCCCCTTTGGGCAGGGCCCATATAGAAGAATCTTATTACCTAGCTGCTAGACTCAGCAATACATCACAATTTCACTCTGAGCAGAGCACTAGCAATAGAGGAGAGACACACCACTTAGGTGGTAGGTCAAGAGCTATTTTACTATCTTTCTTTTGGGCAAAGCCCACATCAGAGAGGAGAGTTCTCATCAAATACTTGATGAACGCAGAGATATGTCACAAACCCCTAAGAATAAAACCCAGGCAGAAGAGCCACATTACCTGGGTGCTGGGTTCAGCAATATGTCACAACCAGGCAGGAAAGTCACAATTACTTGGATGCTAGGTCCAGCAATATGTCACAATGTCCCTTGTGGACTAGGCCCAGGCAGGAGAAGAGTCACATCACCTAGGTACTGGACCAGGCAATTATGTCACAATCCTCCCAGAAAGCAGGGCAAAACAGGACAGTCAAATCACTTAGTTGCTGGGTCCAGTAATATATTGTAATATCTCCTGAGGGCAAGGCCCAGGCAGAAGAGGAGTTACATCATGTAGGTACTGGGTCCCACCATATGTCACATCTATTCTGTGGGCAGAATATAGGAAAAATGGAAGAGTCACATCAAAGGGGTGCTGGGCCAGTAATAGTTCCAAATCTCTTCTGTGAGCAAAACAAGGCAATAAAAGAGAATCACATCACCTGAGTGATAGGCATAGAGATAAGTCACAATGCCCCCTGTAGGCAGGTCTCAAAGAAGAGAGTTACATCCCCTGGGTGATAGACTTACCAATCTGTCACAATGCCTCTGTGGACAGGGTCCTTGAAGGAAAGTCGCATAACCTGAATGTTGAACCCAGCGATATATCCCAGGCAAGACAGGAGAGTTAAATCACTTTGGTTGGCCAGGCATGGTGGCTCACGCCTGTAATCCCAACACTTTGGGAGGCCGAGGCAGGGAGGCCTATCCCATCACTCTAAGATGGGAGTTCGAGATCAGCCTGGAAAACACGGCAAAACCCCATCTTTACTAAAAATACAAAACATTAGCCAGGCATGGTGATGGGCACCTGTAATCCCAGCTACTCAGGAGGCTGAGACAGGAGAATTACTTGAACTTGGGAGGCAAAGGTGGCAGTGAGTTGAGATTGCACCACTGCACTCCAGCCTGGGCAACAAAGGGACACTACATTAAAAAAAAAACAACAACAACAACAAAAAAAAAACACACACACTTAGGTGTTGCATCTAGATGCATGTCACAATGTTACCAGTAGACAGGGTTTTTTTTAAAAAAAAAAAAAAAAAAAGGCCCACCTCGCAATGCCCACAGAGCAGGCAGAAGGCTTGCACAATGGCTTCCTGGAGCAGCTGCATAAGATATACAGGCAAGTTTGGGGCCCACATGCAGGTGCACATTCAGAATCCAGGGCCTGTGACCATAGACCTGGAATCATCAGCTCCCCGTGCTGCTACCTCTGACCCAAAGCAGCTGTCAAAGCTTGAAAAAGAGCAGCAGAGAAAAGAGCAGAGCTAAGGTACCTTCTGAATCAAGCCAGGAGAGAAACACACCCCAAAAAGAAAACTGCAGTGCCAGTAGCAGGGTTGAGGGCAGTCGGGCCTAGGGCAACATGTCCTCTGAACAAGAGCCATAGGCTTGGGAGGCAGAGTTCAGTGTGTTATCACTGGGCAGAACTGGATCTTGAAAAATTCAAGATGGTAAGTACCCACACTGCTTTAAGAATTTGGAACTGAAACATAAAGAGGAAGACAGAAATAAGAAGTTGGGAACCCGAATAGTTCTGCAAAAAGCAGCAAAAGACCATTTTACCATTTTCTGTTGTTGCTGTGGTAGAATAAGGCATGGACACTGCCAGTGTTGGGGAGTCCCTGTGGTAGAAGGAGTACACTCATGCCTCCCCTACAGAAAGGCCGTATTGGTTTCTACTGCGTCTTGGCTTGCTTTTGGAACAGGCTGGCCCAACATCATTTGTCATCAAACCCATTGTAGT